ACACCATCCCTGACAGATGTCTATCTAACCTGTTCTTAAATATCTCCAGAGAGGGAGATTCCACCACCTCCCTTGGCAATTTATTCCAATATTTGACCACCCTGACAGTTAGGGAAGAACTTTTCTTTATGCACCCTCTCCACGCCACTCATGCTTTTCATAGAATCATAGAATAATAGGACTGGAAGGGACCTCAAGAGGTCATCGAGTCCAGCCCCCCGCCCTCAAGGCAGGATCAAGCTCTGTCTACACCATCCCTGACAGATGTCTATCTAACCTGTTCTTAAATATCTCCAGAGAGGGAGATTCCACCACCTCCCTTGGCAATTTATTCCAATATTTGACCACCCTGACAGTTAGGAATTTTTTCCTAATGTCCAATCTAAACCTCCCCTGCTGCACTTTAAGCCCATTACTCCTTGTCCTGTCCTCAGAAACCAAGAGGAACAAATTTTCTCCTTCCTCCTTGTGACACCCTTTTAGATATTTGAAAACCGCTATCATGTCCCCCCTTAATCTTCTTTTTTCCAAACTAAACAAGCCCAGTTCATGAAGCCTGGCTTCATAGGTCATGTTCTCTAAACCTTTAATCATTCTTGTTGCTCTTCTCTGTACCCTTTCCAATTTCTCCACATCTTTCTTGAAATGTGGCGCCCAGAACTGGACACAGTACTCCAGCTGAGGCCTAACTAGTGCAGAGTAGAGCGGCAGAATGACTTCACGAGTTTTGCTTACAACACACCTGTTGATACAACCTAGAATCATATTTGCTTTTTTTGCAACAGCATCACACTGTTGACTCATATTCAACTTGTGGTCCACTATGACCCCTAGATCCCTTTCTGCCATGCTCCTTCCTAGACAGTCGCTTCCCATCTTGTATGTATGGAACTGATTGTTCCTTCCTAAGTGGAGCACTTTGCATTTCTCTTTATTAAACCTCATCCTGTTTACCTCTGACCATTTCTCTAACTTGCTAAGGTCATTTTGAATTATGTCCCTATCCTCCAAAGAAGTTGCAACCCCACCCAGTTTGGTATCATCTGCAAACTTAATAAGCGTACTCTCTATCCCAATATCTACATCATTGATGAAGATGTTGAACAGTATGGGTCCCAAAACAGACCCTTGAGGAACTCCACTTGTTATCCCTTTCCAGCAGGATTTAGAACCGTTAACAACAACTCTCTGACTACGGTTATCCAGCCAATTATGCACCCACCTTATCGTGGCCCTATCTAAGTTATATTTGCCTAGTTTATCAATAAGAATATCATGCGAGACCGTATCAAATGCCTTACTAAAGTCTAGGTATATGACATCCACCGCTTCTCCCTTATCCACAAGGCTCGTTATCTTATCAAAGAAAGCTATCAGATTAGTTTGGCATGACTTGTTCTTCACAAACCCATGCTGGCTATTCCCTATCACTTTATTACCTTCCAAGTGTTTGCATATGATTTCCTTAATTACCTGCTCCATTATCTTCCCTGGGACAGACGTTAAACTGACCGGTCTGTAGTTTCCTGGGTTGTTCTTATTCCCCTTTTTATAGATGGGCACAATATTTGCCCTTTTCCAGTCTTCTGGAATCTCCCCTGTCTGCCATGATTTTTCAAAGATCATAGCTAAAGGCTCAGATACCTCCTCTATCAGCTCCTTGAGTATCCTGGGATGCATTTCATCAGGACCTGGTGACTTGCTGACATCTAACTTTCCTAAGTGATTTTTAACTTGTTCTTTGTGTATCCTATCTTCTAAACTTACCCTCTCTCTGCTTGTATTCACTACGTTAGGCACACCTCCAGACTTCTCGGTGAAGACCGAAACAAAGAAGTCATTGAGCATCTCCGCCATTTCCAAGTTCCCTGTTACTGCTTCTCCCTCCTCGCTAAGCAGTGGGCCTACCCTGTCCTTGGTCTTCCTCTTGCTTTTAATGTATTTATAAAAGGTCTTCTTGTTTCCCTTTATGCCTGTAGCTAGTTTGATCTCATTTTGTGCCTTTGCCTTTCTAATCTTGCCCCTGCATTCCCGTGTTGCTTGCCTATATTCATCCTTTGTTAGTTGTCCTAGTTTCCATTTTTTATATGACTCCTTTTTTATTTTGAGATCATGCAAGATCTCCTTGTTAAGCCAAGCTGGTCTTTTGCCATATTTTCTATCTTTCCTACACAGCGGAATTGTTTGCTTTTGGGCCCTTAACAACGTCCCTTTGAAATACTTCCAACTCTCCTCAGTTGTTTTTCCCTTCAGTCTTGCTTCCCATGGGACCTTACCTACAAGTTCTCTGAGCTTATCAAAATCTGCCTTCCTGAAATCCATAACCTCAATTGTGGTGGTCTCCCTTCTACCTTTCCTTAAGATCATGAACTCTATTATTTCGTGGTCACTGTCCCCTATACTGTCTTCCACTTTCAAGTTCTCAACTAGTTCCTCCCTATTTGTTAAAACCAAATCCAGAACAGCTTCTCCTCTGGTAGCTTTTTCAACCTTCTGAAACAGAAAGTTGTCTCCAATGCAGTCCAGAAACTTATTGGATAGCCTGTGCCCCGCTGTGTTAGTTTCCCAACATAAGTCTGGATAGTTGAAGTCCCCCATCACCACCAAATCTTGGGCTTTGGATAGTTTTGTTAATTGTTTAAAAAAGGCCTCATCCACCTGGCTAGGCCTGTAGTAGACTCCTAGTATGATAGATGTCTATGTAGATGTCTTGAGAGATCCTCAACCTTCGCACTATGCAGGCAAGTCACCACAGGGTTCTCCCAGTCATCACAAACCCAACTGTCTGTTTCTAATGATTGAATCCCCCATTACTAACACCTGCCTTTTCCTAATAAATGGAGTTCCCTCCTCCAAGAGGCATCCTTATTGTGAGAGGATACAAAAACATCATCTGGAAGGACGGGACGAACTATGCAATCATTTTCCCTCTGCTCCAGTTGGATGTTGTTTTTCCTGAGCCTTTCACCCTTCTCAATAACACAGTGGCTGTCTCACTGGGGATAGGACTTCTACTGTGTCCTGGAAGGTCTCATCTATGTATCTTTCTACTTTAGCTCCTCCAATTCAGCCATTCTGGTCTCCAAAGTCCATATGCAGTCTCTGAGGGCCAGGAGCTCCTTGCACCGAATGCACACTTAGACAGGCAATCATACATGGTGCATTGGGTGCAATAAACTGAATAGCCCCATATCTGCTGCTGGGCTTCTGTCTTTCTCTTTTTACTCCTAGAGCTAATTAGTTTCTTGATAGGTGGTTTTGGTTTTAGTGTAGTCTAAGGAAGTTTTAAAGAATGCCAGGTGTATCTAGCTCTCTTCAAAATTCCCCCTCTAAACTTCCTTGTGAAACTCCTGTTAGCTGTTCTTGGTTACAAGTTCCATGTAGTTTTGGACCTGATTTACTCATTGCTGCACCTAGACATCCAGTCGGCTTGACATACATTTTTCAGACAGTCTACACTACAGTTTAATTTGGGTATGGATCACGCCCTTGAGCTATTTAAATTATACCAGAGTAAAGTGAGTAAGCTCTTCCATCAGCTTAGGGCATCTTCCCCAGAAGCAGTAGAGCAGTGTAGCTGTTGTAGTGTAGATAGTTACAGACTCAGTGTCCAGTCATCAAGAAGGCCTTTCCATTTATCTGGGGACTTAGCCATAGGGGTTAGTTCTTCCTAGGATTGACTTTTAAGGCTTCATGCTAACTTCAGCTGATGCACCTTATTAATCACATTTTTTTCTTTGAAGGAAAGCAGTTCTGTCCCAAATTGCAGATTTGCTTTTCCAGATCATGATGGTTCACCTCTAAGTTTAGAAACTGCCATTCATTCAATCAGTGGGGAAAAAAAGCCATTGTGGCTAACAGAGCTTGTGGTATAACTTTGTCCTATAGAGCTGTATTACCAGAAATTAGACTACAGATTGGGTCCATCTTTTAAAGAGGAATGGCTACAAATTGGCTAGTGATCCAGTCCTCCCTCCCCCGCTATCCCACCGTGGGGCTGGAGCACACAATCTACTAGCCTGGCCCCCCCCTTAGGTTCTGGTGTATGAAGAGAATGGCAGGAGTGTCGCTTGTGTGTGGGCCCCCAACTAATCTTTTTGTGGATCAGTGACTTAAAACCCAGAAAAGGTTTCCTACCCCTGCTTTAGATGGTCTTAATCCTAGAATGGTGCACAGAAATATATCTTAACTCAGAAGTGGAACAGAGAAGTCAGTTCATAATCAGATAATCCTTTTAACCTGTATTGACACACACAGGCTGAACCTCTCTAGTCCAGTACTCTCTGGTCTAGCATGATTTGAGTTGCCTGGATGTCTGCTTGTCATGGGTGTGGTCAAGTTTCTCCGCAGTCCCATAAAGTTTTACAGCCACCAGTCCTGGCTTTCAGTGTTCTGTCCTGTTATTTAGCTTTAATACCCCTAACTGTCTCCGAAAAGCCCAGTACGCAGCAGAAGTGTTGGTAATGCAGCTAGGTAATATTGACCTTCCGTGGTGCCAGACTAGAGAGATTTATCCTGTAGTATATAGAGTATCATTGGGGAGGAGGGATAGCTCAGTGGTTTGAGCATTGGCCTGCTAAACCCAGGGTTGTGAGTTCAATCCTTGAGGGGGCCATTTAGGGATCTGGGGCAAATCTGTCAGGGATGGTACTTCGTCGTGATGTGAGGGCAGGGGACTGGACTCGATGACCTCTAAAGGTCCCTTCCAGTTCTATGAGATGGTATAGCTCCATCATGGTGTGGGTTCAAAGGACTAACAACAGAAGAACTAGATTAACATCCTTCTTCCTCCTAGAGAAGGTGCATACTATGCCACAATATACAGTCACATTTTTAATGCAGTGTACTCAAAGATATTAACCCTAACTCAATAAAGATTAGTTTTATTATCAGTCTGTTATATGATCAGTATAAGAAGAGTTTCAGTGTCTTGTTTAATTGAAATTACCAATTTCCATACAGGGAAAAACATGTGGAAAGAAATATCTTGCTTTTCTTGCATCTTAGTGCCAACTTTTCTGTTCTTAGGAACCGATATTGCTGCTGGTGAGGAGGTTGCCATCAAATTGGAATGTGTGAAAACCAAACATCCTCAGCTCCACATAGAGAGTAAAATCTACAAAATGATGCAAGGAGGAGGTAAATTTAAGTTTCCATCTAGTAAGAGTCTGTGTTCATAGCTATCAGCTTAATGTTCAGGTTCCTATTTATAGATGAGGAGGTTTCCTTGTTTTTTCTGTAGTGGGGGATGTGCACCCAACATTGTCATTACCTAATGCAATTAACGTGGCTCAAAACTTATTTCACGTTTTTCTCTTTTCAAAAACTCAGATTAAAAAAAAAAAGTTTTAAAAACAGGTGGTTATCAGCTTTTAAAGTTTTCTTATGTTTTTCTATTTGTTTTTATATTTTAATTATATTTTGAATTTTTATACAATGTCAAGTTTTTACCTCCAAAAATTACTTTCAGATAGAGCACTAATTGATATACAAAGAAAAAAACCCTGAAGATGCCAACTGCTTGCATTCTCACTTCTGGCTTTTTAGCTTCTTAAAACTTCAGAACGAAATACAGGCAGTCCCCGGGTTACGTACAAGATAGGGACTGTAGGTTTGTTCTTAAGTTGAACTTGTATGTAAGTCGGAACTGGCGTCCAGATTCAGCTGCTGTTGAAACTGACCAGTGGCTGACTGCAGGAAGCCCAAGGCAGAGCAGCTCTGCCTCGGGCTTCCTGTAGTCAGCCGCTAGTCAGTTTCAGCAGCGGCTGACTTGGGGACACCTGGGATAGAGCAGCTGGGGTGCTGCTGGGTTGGTCCCGCAGCGCCACTCCTCGGCGCTACTGGCCCACCCCAGCAGCACCCCAGCTGCTCTATCCCAGGTGTCCCCAAGTCAGCCACTGCTGAAACTGACCAGTGGCTGACTGCAGGAAGCCCAAGGCAGAGCAGCTCTGCCTCGGGCTTCCTGTAGTCAGCCGCTAGTCAGTTTCAGCAGCGGCTGACTTGGGGACACCTGGGATAGAGCAGCTGGGGTGCTGCTGGGTTGGTCCCGCAGCGCCACTCCTCGGCGCTACTGGCCCACCCCAGCAGCACCCCAGCTGCTCTATCCCAGGTGTCCCCAAGTCAGCCACTGCTGAAACTGACCAGTGGCTGACTGCAGGAAGCCCAAGGCAGAGCAGCTCTGCCTCGGGCTTCCTGTAGTCAGCCGCTAGTCAGTTTCAGCAGCGGCTGACTTGGGGACACCTGGGATAGAGCAGCTGGGGTGCTGCTGGGTTGGTCCCGCAGCGCCACTCCTCGGCGCTACTGGCCCACCCCAGCAGCACCCCAGCTGCTCTATCCCAGGTGTCCCCAAGTCAGCCACTGCTGAAACTGACCAGTGGCTGACTGCAGGAAGCCCAAGGCAGAGCAGCTCTGCCTCGGGCTTCCTGTAGTCAGCCGCTAGTCAGTTTCAGCAGCGGCTGACTTGGGGACACCTGGGATAGAGCAGCTGGGGTGCTGCTGGGTTGGTCCCGCAGCGCCACTCCTCGGCGCTACTGGCCCACCCCAGCAGCACCCCAGCTGCTCTATCCCAGGTGTCCCCAAGTCAGCCACTGCTGAAACTGACCAGTGGCTGACTGCAGGAAGCCCAAGGCAGAGCAGCTCTGCCTCGGGCTTCCTGTAGTCAGCCGCTGATCAGTTTCAACAGGGGCTGAATCTGGACGCCAGTTCCGACTTACATACAAGTTCAACTTAAGAACAAACCTACAGTCCCTATCTTGTACGTAACCCGGGGACTGCCTGTAATTACTTCTTAAATAATTTTGATCTCCTAAGAGGAGGTGTAGAGTAGAACATGAATTTAAGTAGCCACCATATGCAATGGTAGATAAAAATACTGAAGTTTTATTGACTTCATTGTACCAACAGTGCTTTGGAGCTTAAAGGTAAAGTCAACTCAGTTTTATTGTTAACTAACTAACTAAAATCCACAAAGCACAAAGATATGCTTTTATTTTTATATGATCATAGTTCTGGAGACCAGGAAATTGAGTTCTGAAGTGTGTTCTGACAAGCACACTCTCTATGACTTTGCCTGAGTCACTTGTCACAGATTCCCCTCTATGTAATGGAGCTGTTTACCTCCGTAACAGGGACCATATGAATATGTGAATTTTTTTTCCAAAGCCCCGATCCAACAATGCATCAAAGCATGGGCTTACAATGCAAACCACAAAATGTGTTTGTTCTTTTTTGAAAGAGGATCATGCTAGTTTAGATATCTGCTGCTAGAAATTTTGTTAGCTCTGCTACAGAATCTTAAGGGTTATGTTCTCAAAAAGCTTTTTAGTAGTGTAAAATATTATGCATCACCGGAGACACAAAATAGCCCTCATTGGGAATATATCAAATTATCAAAAGATAAGGGTGGTTTTTAAAACTGTCTTAGGAGTCCACCTACATAAGCTATAAAAGCATTGTGATTATACTATTTCTCTCTGTTCTAGTTGGTATTCCAACAATTAAATGGTGTGGAGCTGAAGGAGACTATAATGTAATGGTGATGGAGTTGTTGGGACCAAGCCTTGAAGACCTATTCAATTTTTGCTCAAGGAAATTCAGTCTGAAGACAGTCCTGTTGCTTGCTGACCAAATGGTAGGAAGTTGTTTTGATGATGAAATCTATTTGGCATATTAAGATTTTCAAAGAGATTTTACTCAGCTATATCCCTGTTAGGAAGTCATAGGTGGATGAGGTTTGCTATCTCTTTTAAAACACCGAGTCAAAATTAGGTTTATTTTTGTAAATGCAAAACTGTAAATCAGTAATTTTGATAAATGTTTTCATTTAAACAGTTTTTTGTTGGAATTTAAATATTCTTCTGGATTATTAACTACCAAGACATTGTCACATTGAGCTAATGCAATAGAGCCAGAAATGAAGCTGAATAAAAATAAACCTCAAATTTACTAAGGTGGGGTAACTGAAGGAAGATATGAAAGCAATATAATGAAAAGTAAACTATCTGTTTGTAAAATCCATTTCTTTTAAGAATCTAACATTAAATGATAAAATGGATAAGGAAATGTCTTTTTTTTAAGACCACATTTCTAGTAAAATAAGTTGATGCACAGTGTCTCTTGAATTAATTTCTTCTCTGTATCTAGATTAGTCGGATTGAATATATCCACTCTAAGAACTTCATCCACCGAGATGTAAAACCTGATAACTTCCTGATGGGTCTGGGAAAGAAAGGCAATCTGGTCTACATCATAGACTTTGGGTTAGCCAAGAAGTATCGGGATGCTCGAACTCACCAGCACATTCCATATCGTGAAAATAAAAACTTAACAGGAACTGCCCGTTATGCATCTATAAACACTCATCTTGGAATTGGTGAGCTAGAGGAAGATAGCTTTCTGTCTAGCAAAATATGCATCTATCATTTGAGTTTTCAGTTAATGAAATATACAAGCTGGATAATTCCTTTTAGCAAGCGGATATTCTTATGTAGCTGATGCATTGAAAGAAAGTGCCTTTTACTAACAACTGGCTAAGTTTGCAAGGGGTTACACTAAACTTGTGCTATTTGTCATGTGATAACCTTTGAATACTGTGGATTTGGGGGGTAGAGGGGAGGGGGGATTAGAAAATGAAAGCTTGCTAATGTGTGAGGAGGCCACAGTCTCTGCCTCCTATTTAGCAGAGCCACAAGTTCAAGTACCTCTGCAATTTTCTATAAATCAATAACTGGTTGTTGGCATCACTTAACACCAGTAGGAAAGAAAAGAAATAATAGTAGGAGTGGGTGGGAAGCATGTGAGTGCACTTGGCGCATAGGTGGGTTTCTGAGAGTTATTGGAAACAGAAGGGGATGGAAAGGTGCCAAACTGGAAACATTGTGATGGGAAATGGACGAAGTCCAGGGGACCCCCTAGTCAGGGCCTGGTGTATGCAATGAGCTTGGCCTTACGTGTGTGATTACTTCAGGCTTATGTCTGCAGGTGACTATAGAAGTAGAAAACTAATGGTTATAAGGAATTAGCAAGTTTTTGGATAACTGCTAAAGGGTAACTGTTTTTAGTTATTGGCAAGTGTAAGATGGACTTATTGACCTTCAGCTATATTTTATGTATTTGTAAGATTTCAGTGACAATTTGTGGCATAAACATTTTTGTACTTTCACACCACAATATCAAATCTAACAACTCCACTTTTACACTCTTGTAGAGCAGTCTCGCAGAGATGACTTGGAGTCCTTGGGCTATGTACTGATGTATTTTAACCTGGGCTCCCTCCCCTGGCAGGGATTGAAGGCAGCAACAAAAAGACAGAAATATGAACGTATCAGCGAAAAGAAAATGTCTACGCCCATTGAGGTTTTGTGTAAAGGATATCCTTGTAAGTTATTCTTTTGATGGTGTATTGACAAAGTTAGCTTTTCTTTTAACATTGAATATTGTCTTATCAATATTGACATATTTAACTTATATTAATTTAGCAATTACTTTGATTTCTGTTCATAAATAGGCACATCAAACTCAATGGTGGCCTAATTGTTCATGCAAGTGGACAATGTTCCCTCTTAAGTTTTTATATCCATATGCAGAATGTGAATTTTTTGATGTGTACCAATGTAGAAGTGACATGGCCAGCATGGGACCAAGGGGTTCAGAGCATGGCAGGGAGCTCAGGGCTGGGGCAAGATGTTTGGGTTTGGGGGGAGGGTTCCAACTAGGGAGGAAAGCAACTAGCTGGCTAGTGATGTGACTAGTCGCTCTCCCCCTCCTCCCCTTGCTGCCTCTATCAGAGAGAGGCAGCAAGGTGAGGAGCGGGAGCCGGGTTAAAAGCTGGTTCCCCGCAGCACCATCTCCATGGGAAGGCACAGTGGGAAATGGCATAAATGGGGACTGAAGCAGTGTCCACTTGCGCCGCTTCTGCTACGATTCTGCTTTTGAAATGTACAAGAGCCCCAGTCTTCTGTGTTTCAAAGGCTCAGGCGGCACTGGGAGTGCTGACCCCACGCTCCCTGCAGGGCTTCTGCTTTTGAACTAGGCAGAGGCATCCCTATAGACTGATTGAATAGTCGATGGAAATCCCATCGACAATTTGATTATTTAATCTACATTTAACATCCCTAGTTTCAGTAGGGGGCCAGACTCTGGAGTGGGTCCAGGAATTAGGGGCTTGAGGTGCAAGCTGCCCTGGAGCTATGGCGGGGGAAGGAGGACTCCCTTCTCCCCAGTTCCCTCTATCTTCATAGAAGCTGAGGGAAGTGTGCCCCTCTCCAGTCTGGGCAGCTCCAGAGGGGCTGGGCTGAGCTGGGGGAGGGACATCTCTCCTTGCCTGTGTAGCCCTTGATAGTCTGCATGCGGCTGTGCAGCTTACAGGGAATTTAACACATGTGGAGCTATGGCGGGGGAAGGAGGACTCCCTTCTCCCCAGTTCCCTCTATCTTCATAGAAGCTGAGGGAAGTGTGCCCCTCTCCAGTCTGGGCAGCTCCAGAGGGGCTGGGCTGAGCTGGGGGAGGGACATCTCTCCTTGCCTGTGTAGCCCTTGATAGTCTGCATGCGGCTGTGCAGCTTACAGGGAATTTAACACATGTGATCACGCTTGCTTTATTCACCTTCAGATTAATATTTTTATGAATGTACCTTCACTGCAAATTGGGAGTAGAAAGCTAGGTCTCCTGATTCAGTACTTTTGTAAAAATGCCATGCTGTTTGAAGACAGACACAAATCATTAGAGGTGTTGACCAGTTGAGGTTTTCATCCCTTTGAGTGGGCTGGATTGCAAAGTCCAATGCACCAATTGCATCTGCTGTACTAGGGAACATGGAGTATAGGAACTACCACATTGGATCAGATCTGTGGTTCATCTTGCACAATATCCTATCTCTGACAGTAGCCCGCAAGAGGCCTTACATTGCACCAGTATTTCCCCCTACATTTGAACTTAGAGCTCTAAAGTTTTACATTGTTTTGGGTTTTTTATGCAGTTATATAATAAAAAAAAATTACATTTGTAATTTCACTTCCATGGTTGAGTTCATACTTCAGTACTTGTATGAGATGAATTGAAAAATACTGTTTCTTTATATAATTTTTATTACAAATATGTGCACTGTAGCAATGATAAGTGAGCACTGTACACTTGATATTCTGTGTTGTAATTGAAATCAGTTTTGAAATATAGTAAATGTCCAAAATATTGAATAAGTTTCTGTGTGTGTGTGTGTGTGTATTCTGTTTAACAGTGCGATTAATCATGATTACATTTTTGAGTTAATTATGTGAGTTAACTGTGATTAAATGATAGCCCTAATTTATACCCTTGAAGCAATTCTTAATGTCTTTAGTCTTTAGACTTCTGTAAACTAGGCAGTGTAAATATTACATTTGCTCCAAAGGTCATGAAAAAGACATAGCATGGCAGCTAAAATGGTGGTGTAACTTTGTTTGCTTGATGCATTTGAAGGAATTGTTGGGATTTTTTTTTTATAATGGAGATTGCCTATCTCCTAGAACTGGAAGGGACCTTGAGAGTCTAGTTCCCTGCCTTCACAGCAGGACCAAGTACCATCCCTGATGAATTTTTGCCCCAAATCCTAAATGGCCTCTGCAAGGATTGAACTCATAACCCTGGGTTTAGCAGGCCAATGCTCAAACCACTGAGCTATTCCCCCCCCAATGTAAGATAGTGTTACATGTAGAAAAGCATGACAAAACTGTGCTATCCCAGTAAACATTACGTTACTTTTTGAAACAATTATTTAAAAGTTAATATGAAGCTAGTAAATTAAATTTCTCTTTTTTTCATAGCTGAATTTGCTACGTACCTGAATTTTTGCCGTTCTTTGCGTTTTGATGACAAACCAGACTATTCGTATCTGAGACAGCTATTCAGAAACTTGTTCCATCGACAAGGCTTCTCCTATGATTATGTATTTGACTGGAACATGCTCAAATTTGTAAGTAGAGTACATTGTTGACTTAGTCACAGAGGTCATTGAAGGAATCAAAGTCTATTTGGGATTGCTGCTATGTATTGATTTCTTAGAATCATAAAGCTGGAAGGATCTCAGGAGGTCATCAAGTCCAGCCCCCTGCCCAAGGCAGGACCAATCCTAACTGAATCAATCCAGCCAAGGCTTTGTCAAGGCGAGTCTTAAAAACCTCTAGGGATGGAGATTCCACCACCTCCCTAAGTAACCCATTCCACCACTTCACCACCCTCCTAGTGAAATAGTTTTTCCTAATATCTAACCTAGACCTCTCCCACTGCAACTTAAGACCATTGCTCCTTGTTCTGCCATCTGTCACTGCTGAGAACAGCCTCTCTCCATCCTCTTTAGAACCTTCCTTCAGGAAGTTGAAGGCTGCTATCAAATCCCCCTTCACTCCTGCAAACTAAACAAACCCAAATCCTTCAGTCTCTCCTCATAGGTCATGTGCTCCAGCCCCCTAATCATTTTGGTCGCCCTCCACTGGACCCTCTCCAATGCGCCCACATCCTTTCTATAGTGGGGGGCCCAGAACTGGACACAAGTGTGGCTTCACCAGAGCTGAATAAAGGGGAATAATCACTTCTCTGGATCTGCTTACAATGCTCCTCCTAAAGCACCCCAGTACACCATTAGCCTTCTAGGCTACAAGGGCACACTGTTGACTCAGATCCAGCTTCTCATCCACTGTAAGCCCTAGGTCCTTTTCTGCCGAACTGCTACTTAGCCTTTCAGTCCCCAGCCTGTAACAATGGTTGGGATTCTTCCGTCCCAAGTGCAGGACTCTACACTTGTCCTTGTTGAACCTCATCAGACTTCTTTTAGCCCAATCCTCTGATCTATCCAGGTCACTCTGGACCCTATCCCTGCCCTCCAGCGTATCTACCTCTCCCCCTAGCTTAGTGTCATCCGTGAACTTGCTGAGGGTGCAATCCATTCCCTCATCCAGGTCATTAATAAAGATGTTGTTCTTGGACCGGTTTTGTTCAGATCCTTGGGGTACTCCGGTAGAAACCGACAGCCAACCTGACATTGAGTCATTGATCACTACCCGTTGGGCCCGACAGTCTAGTTAGCTTTCTATCCATCTTACAGTCCATTTACCCAATCCATATTCCCTTAACTTGCTGGCCAGAATATTGTGGGAGACTGTATCAAAAGCTTTGCTAAAGTCAAGGTATATCACATCCACTGACTTTCCCATATCTACAGAGCCAGTTACCTCATCATATAAGCTAATCAGATTGGCCAGGCACGACTTGCCCTTGGTGAATCCATGTTGACTATTCGTGATCACTTTCCCCTCTTCCAAGTGCTTCAAAATGGATTCTTTGAGGATCTCCTCCATGATTTTTCTGGGGACTGAGGTAAGGCTGACTGGTCTGTAGTTCCCCAAGTTGTCCTTCTTCCCTTTTTTTTTAAGATGGGCACTACATTTGCCTTTTTCCAATCATCCGGGATCTCTCCAGATCTCCATGAGTTTTCAAAGATAATAGCCAAAAGGTCTGCAATGACACTTGCCAACTCCCTAAGTATTCTTGGATGCATTAAATCTGGGCCCATGGATTTGTCTGTTTAGCTTTTCTAAATAGTTCCTAACTTGTTCTTTCCCCACCAAGGGCTGTCCACCTCCTTCCTATGCTTCGTTGCCTAGTGCATTTGTCTGGGAGCTGACCTTGTCCGTGAAAATAGAGGCAAAGAAAGCATTGAGTACTTCAGCTTTTCCCACATCATCTCTCACTATGGTACCTCCCTCATCCACTTTACTAACAGTGTTTGTTTTGAATGAGCTACCCAAAATTGCCGGTGCTCAAACAGCATTTGAGAAGGCCAAGCTTTCTTTGGGTGGTTGCGTGGAGGCTGATAGTTTGAAGAATCAGATTTTTCTACAGTGCCTCTTCATTTCAAACAGAGAAAGAGAGAGAGAGAGAGAGTGGCCATTGGCTTTAAAAAATATTCATGTCCCAAATAAGGATGTTAAAATGCAGTTATCAGGCTAATCGTATAGTTGATACAATTTGTATAGACTATACAGTTAGTTGATAGGACCATTCTGCAGAGCCACAGCGGGGGTAGCTCAGCTCTGCATTTTAAATGTTGTAAAATGAAGGCCTAAAACATAAGCCAATATAGCACAGGCCAGGTCTGAGGCCTAGTTAACAATGGACAAAACATGGCCAACATAAAGCAAAGCTAAGCTGTGAGTGAGAGGTAGGTCCCTGCTAACAGAACTTAGCATGAACAGGGCTGAGAGTCCAAAACACTAATTGGTAATAGGTCTAGATGTAGAACAGTATCTGGTACTGGTCATAAGAGAAAGGCACATGGTACCACCAGCTCATTAAAAAAGACGTTGGTACCTACGTTCAGGAAAGGGTCTAAAATGACAGCATGATGGATAGAGATGATCTAATCATTCCACGAAGTACAAGGTAATGGGTGATATCTAACTAGCGTCAGAGATTGGTAACCTGAAATGTCAGTAGTGATGTGGAATTAGTTTGAACCTCTATATAAAGTGGTGTCTTTCGGGGGGACAGTCTTTGTCCAGCCAGGGAGCAGTGGGAGTTTCCCACTGGTTGAGCTTAGGCCATGGTTGTAAGCAGGGCTTGACAAGCAGCAACGAGCCCCGCTTGCCAGCTGCACGGTTTGGCGCGCTGCGCATGCGCTGATCGTGCTGCGGCGCCATGCCAGGCTAAAATCTACTCGCCACGGGCAAGTAGATTGCCCTAATTGTCGAGCCCTGGTTGTAAGTACATGTGTATAGTGATTCAGTAGATTCTACTGATAACTATTACTGTACTTTGCTTAACAATAAACCTGGCCAGGCACCTTCAATCCTTATCTGATTTGTGGTCTTTGGGGAGCCCTCTTAAGGTCTGTGGTGGTCATTGGGCCCACATCATCGAGCATACACGCAGGCAGCCTTCTGGTTATCGACAGAGCCAGAGACCTGTCTGAACACCATGGCAGGAAATCGTAACTACACTGCCAGGCTCTTACTACATTTAAAATGCAGAGGCAGTGATCAGCATGAGCCAGGACTGATGGGTCCCTGCTCATGCTGAGTCCAGTAGCCCCTGTTTGCGGTGGACAGCACTGTCCACTGCAGACAGGCGCTGGTGCCAGGGCAGCCTCTGATCAC